TTCAGAAGAAAACATATTTTACCATGAGTAGTGGTTGATTTAAAAAGTCCTTAAGCAAACACCCCCACCTTTTGGCAAAAGCTCATGTATGTTCGTCTGTCTCGATCTAGACCTAGGCCATAGATCTAGAAGAACCTGGGTCTACCCTGAGCCAAGAGGGCGTTGAAACTTTTCGAAATCACAAAACAGTTTCCCTACCGGGTCTGTATACTTTGTGACTTTGTCCCCGGTTACCGGGTCTGTGTATGCACTCCCTTTTAGGATTTGACACAGTAACCGGGAACAAAGTCATGAAATACACAGACCCGGTAGGGGAAATCTTTTGTGTTTTCATAAGTTTCAGCACCCTCTTGGCTCAGGGTAGACCTAGGTTCTTCTAGATTTATAGCCTATCTAGGCAGACAGACATGTGGTGGTTTTATTTGAATTTGTGTATATTACATAAAAGGCCACCTCTATTCTCACCCGGGTGCGCGTTCACCATTATAGCTAGCCTTGGCCAATCATTGTAGCGTTCACTCTGAACCTCAGAATTCTACACTGTGATATAACAGAATTGTAGAATTCTGTGCCGGTTGAGAATAGCCAACGCTGGCAAGTCTCAACCGGGATGAGAAGTCGATCATATTTTTATTCTCACCCCGGGTGAGGATAGCCACTTCCTTCATAAAAAGGTATTACGAGTATTTCTGATACAACCCACATGATATCACGAAATCAGAAAATCTCAAAATTACTCTGCTTCTGAGGCAAAATAATGCACCTCTCCAAGGGTTACTATGTACACCTTATTCTCTTTTTTTTTTTTTAGCTGAGCTCACATAGATCTGAATCTAGACCTAGATCTAGTTTATAATTTAATAGGCTGTCATTATTCGAACTCGAGTCCGAATAAGAAAAAATATTATTTGGACACGGGTCCGGAAAAAAGGAAGTGTCTTCGTTCTATAGATCTAACGTTCAGTGCTTCCAATTTTCCGCCATTTTTTTGTTTCCCCCACACCTTGTCTGCCGATCCGATGCCCGCCGCCTCATTGATACGCCCCCTCCCCCCACTCTCCATGTTTCCCGCTTTCTTTGTTGTAGAAAAAGGTAAAATTGAAGATTAGCAGATCTCCTGGCACCTGCATATTATGAGCTGTGTAAAAAAGAAAGACCGATTCGTTCAACTACACAAGCCTGTGTCATCTAGATTGTTTACCAAGAAAAAGTTGTGTTGCTGTGTAGAGCCGAGCATACGACAACTTTTAATTCCATAGACCAGCGCACAATTCATTACGTAGATCTACGTCAAGACTAGCTTATTATTGTAATAATGATCAGTTGCCGGGGGGGGGGGGGGACTGACACGTATGCGACGTTCAACGCCCAGACCGATAGCGCCCCCCCCCCCGACACGCACACACAGCCACACGTGTGCAGGCCGCCCATCCGACCCCGACACACGCTAACGAGCCATCTTTAATTGCTTCTGATGACGTCTTGACAAATAAACATTTATTAGAAGCGCTCTAACTTTTCAGGCCGCCTCAAATTCATCATAAGATAAAAACTCGGCTCCGGCACAATTTAACGCCATTTTGCCCGAAGTGATCCCAGTCTCTACCCAGCCTGAGGCGAGTCACGAGTGAGGCAGGACAGGAAGCCGGAGTCACGAGTCACAGGAAGTCGGAAGTGATGTCATGCTGGACAAGAATCAGGGTCCGAATAACATTTTTTCATATTCGGACTCGAGTCCGAATAAGTCACTTCGAATTTAATATTCATTTCCCATTGGTTTTCTATGTTTACATGATGTATTTTTGGCAAAATGATACTTTTTCCAATATTCGGTAACCCAATAATTAGAAATACAGTCAAACCTGTGTAAAACAGCCACCCACTATCAAGGAGAAAAGTTAACATTTCAACACAGGTGGCCATCTTAGGCAGGACTGGTCAAAATGTAGAAAGCGAATCACTCTCTTCTGAGGTCCAAACTGTAGCAGATCTCAGGCTTAGGGCTGCTGTAAGACTAATTCAAAAGATTTTTGTTTTCTTTTATTAAAAAGAAGGGGGACGGGGGGGTTGTAATGAAGGTTTTTTTATGTTGTTTTGCTGGGGTTTATTTTGTAAGTTTTCTTTTTGTTACTGATATTGTGCAAGGGTAAAATAAACGAAATTCAATAAGCAGGGCTCCCCATTACGCACAAATGTGCGCATATTACGCATTAAACCTGCAGATTACCTACCCCCTTAAAGTTTTGGCGGTGCGTGAGCATTAATTACTCTTTAAAATTTCGTTTCGGGAGTTTGACGCTTTAAAGCATAGGTGGTGTGCGTGTGGCAATCATCGTTTCCCCCCTTCTCCTTCCCGAAGCCGAGTCAATGATTTGACAACACTATACACGGCATGGCAGTCACCTTATTTTGTTACTTTGTCTGTGACTGTCAGAAGCAGTCGACCTACTTATCAGAGTTTACCCCTACCGTAAGATTACCATTACCCCAATAGACCTGGCTACTCCGATTTTTTGCCTCAAATCTCAAGCATCCCAATTTTCCTGATTTCGATCGGGCCACCTATATTCTCACCCCTGGTGAGAATAGCTCATGACCCGCTGTTCTCACCCCCACCCCTGTGTGAGCATGAGGTGAGCCTTAATGTTCTTAAAATTAGCCTAGATCTAGGTCTATAGTTGCGAGGACCCGTAGGTATCAGCTGCGTTCTTTTCTTTACATTTCGTCCTTGCATAACCATAGATCTAGATCTAGATTTAAGATCCAACACAGCTTGGGGCGAGTCAACTACTAAATCTGGCTTCGATATTTCAGGAAATAGTGCTCCGGGTTCCTGCTGGCAAAAAGTTTGGCGAGTGCTTCCTGCGACAGAGAAGAAGGCAGAGTACGTTTTTAGAAAAGTCCAGTGCTAACGGCTCAAAAAAATCGGGATACACACGATCGAAAGGAAGTGGCTATACTCACTGAGAATAGATTCTCACTGAGAATAGCCTATGGCACTATGACTATGTCTGGCTATTCTCAACACCCCCCCTCCCCCCCCTCAGGTGTGCTAACATACAGTAGGTCTAGGCCTATAGTCAGTAGCGCAGACACACAGAACAGCTCAGAAAATATATAAGTTGTAGAGATAAGTTTCAGGTTTAATGGGCTCTGTGAAGGCCATGAACTGCAAACAACAGGGAAAAGAAAGTTGTGTTGGATCTTAAAACATTGCTCGCAACTATAGGCCTACTTAATGGAAGTAGTATCGATTTGGCATTCTGACTTTGGACATTTTCAAGATCTACCTTTGCTTTTGCTTCCACTCAGAATTCTCTGATAAATGTTTCAATTGCGACTCAAATTATAAAAATATGAATCGTAGTTCTGCTGCTACTTTTCAAAACAAGCTTTGTCTAAATGCTAGTTAGTCGGGCCCGTCATCAAGACCCGTCAGTAAAACTGTTTCAATTGCACGTTCGCAGCTCATGACCTTCGTCTTGTGAGTACCGCATGTGTAAGGGACCATCCGTTAATGGGGCCAGATTAAGTTCTTGCTCAATGGTTGAAGCGTCTTTCGAGACTTAAAGGGGGAGGGAGGAGGGGGGTAGACACTTGGACGTGATACTTCAGGGTTTAAAAAAAAATAATGATAACACACACACACACACAGAGCATGGATATATTTATGGACACCCGTGTAAATATTTTAAGTCAGCTTGGCAGTCACTTAAGTCACCCTGGTGATTTGTCGTTGATCACGATTTTTTCCCCCTGAGATCCTGATTTTTAGATTTCATAGAGTGGCAGGTCTGCCCCCGTCCTTCTTAGTAAATATGAATTGTCCGCCATTTTTTAAAAACAAAATCGAAAGTTTGGAAAGTGTGAACCCAGAGATGGCTCTGAAGAATAATGAATCAGTTTATTAAATTTTCTTTGTGTATATTACAGTCGGAATTGACCTCTTTTGGTTAGTCAACTTAATTTGATTTTTGATCGGCCCAACCGCCACCACCCTTTCCCACTTCCGAGTGAAGACAACACTAATTCTAGTCAATATTACTCATTTATTTCTTGTTGTTACATTGAAAACTTGCAGTTAATTAAAAATCGTTAGAAGCATTAAATCATAGTCATGGTTACTCTGTGTCTGTGTGAATGTGCGTGTGAGTTAAATGTTTACATGCAAAAATTCTATCTGAAATTAGAAGATAATTAACTTTTGAGGATTAGTTTGTCAGACATAACCCTTTAAGTTTCTAAAACAAGGGTTTAAATACCTCTTAAGATAGAAAACCGAAGGGTGAAGGAACCTCTTAAGTTGGCCTGAAAAGGGGAGCCCTGGTAAGACGATGAAGACAGAGTGCCATGGTAAAGCAAACATACGGATCCCGCCACTCGGAGAACGAGCGACGCTTCTGTTGCAAGTTCACGTCAATGTCCATTGTTACTTACTTACAGATTTGGTAAACAGAACAGTGACCAGTCACCTCACACACGATTTGTGCGTGAGTCGTGGGTGGGGCTTTTAAGGGCTGCCGTAAGGCTAATTTAAAAGGGGTTTTGTTTTCTTCTGAAAGGGGGGGGGGGGGAGGGGGACTGCAATGGCTAAGGCTAGTTTCAATAAAATGAGCCCAATCCTGAAAAATAGAAACATCTCAATGAACACCAAAATGAAAGTCCTGAAATGTTATGTTTTGTCAACCCTTCTATATGGCTGTGAATGCTGGACAATCACTAAAGACAGTGAAAACAAAATAGAAGCAACAGAAATGTGGTTTCTTAGGAGACTGCTAAGGGTATCGTGGAAGGAAAAGAAATCAAATGAGGTAGTGCTTGATGAAGCCCACGTGGGACGCTCAATGTTAAAAGCAATCAGGAAATGACAAATGCAGTTTTTGGGACACCTGAATAGACATAAGGGTCTTGAACATCTAGCTCTCACTGGCAAAATTGAGGGCAAGCGAGGCAGGGGTAGGCCCAGAACAACATACATAGGGAACCTAAACAAATGGGTAACAGGGAAAGATCAGGGGAACATAGCTTTTTTGAGAGCATCCGAGCAAAGGTATGAATGGAAAACCATGATCGCCGATGTCTGTCGCAGATCTGGCACTGGATGATGATGAGCAGCCATTAATGGTGGCTGCTGTTATTACTACACTTTAAGATGCTCTTGATATCATGGAAACAAGTTAACTGGCTCTGGGTGGTGTTTTCATTTTAATGGCTTCCATGGCTCCTTCTCCCAATAGCTCAATGACAGTGTCTGAAAATATAACTCTATTTTAAAGTTTGTAGATTAAATAATTAGATTATTAGTGATATTGAGAGGAATTCTGTACCGAGTGACCACTTGAAATATGCTATTAAATAAATAGAGGGTTAGGTTAGGTAGGCTTTGGGTGAGGGTTAGGTCTCTTCTTTATTGTACTTGTTGGGGTGGTCGCTTGTTACTGAAATCCTTCTTTGATTTTCGTTAAATGTTTCTAAAAAGTTGGAATGTCTTGGTTATCAAAGTTTTATTTTTTCAGGAATTCAACCGAAAGAAGATCACCTTGGAACAGGTTTTCTTGAAGGACACGCCTCTCTAATTTTTTCAGAATGGTATGTTTTCCTGCTTCTGGTACTGACAGCCTTTTGCTCAGAAAGTAACATGATGGTCTTGCATTCCTCTGTCCATCTTTCCTTGAAAGCTTACTTTGAAATTCAAAGCACTGGCCGTGGGCACAATTAGGGAACTTCTTACATAGAGGCTTACTTTTTGTTCAGGTAGAGAGGTGTTTTCAGTTGTTTAGTTTTTTTCGTCTTTCTTTGAGAGAGATTTTTCATTTGATGTGTATATATAAAATTTGAATAAGTATAAGGATTTTGACCTTTTATTCATTTTATGTGTACTCTTGTGTTGACTGTTTCACAAAGAGGCTGCAGACGACCATTAATAGAGACTTATATACTGAATTGTACTAAATCTGCTCAGTCGGAAGAAGTTTGTTAAATTGACTTTTGAATGTCTTTTTTAATGGACTCTGTATGTATGAATATTTCTACAGTCAAAAAAGCCTGAATGTGTGAAGGTCGTGGTGAGATGTCGACCCCTAAATCAAAAGGAAACATCTGATGGGCATGAACGGTGAGTTTACGAGCACGTATGATTGTCATGTGTTTGGAATCTACCGAGTAGAAAAAGTAAGAGTGGTCTGTTGGTGCAAAAATTAGGTTTCCAAACTTTCAATTTTTTTTTTTCAAGCTCTGGTCTTTTTCATCACGTGTTGCTTTTATTGCCCTTGATGTAAGAGTCTTAAAGGAAGAAATGTAACTGCATGAATATACATATTTTTCTTTAGTAGAACTCACTCAGTTTCACTTGTGTAATGAATATTATTCTCTCTCTTCTCTTATAAAATGAATGACTGACTGAATATCACTTGCAGTTTTCACACTGAAATGACATGAAATGAAACAGAAGAATATTCAACCTGCTATGCACTGGCACAATCAGTGGAAAGACCCTCAGCTGCATTTTGGAGAGAGCAGCGGAGCACCAATGGACATGTACGAAATTCAGGGATGTTGCTTCCTGAAACAATGAACACTGAAATGACCGTTTATCACGTTTTTTTAACTATGAAAAAATTCCCTTTTTTGAAATAATGTTTCTTGTGTTTGATCTGATTTTAAATATTTCCTTTTCTTTTTAAATCTTCTTTCAGAGTCGTGGAAATGGACGTTAAGAGAGGGGTGATTGAGGTAAAGAACCCAAAGGGTGCGGAATCTGAGCCTCGCAAGAAGTTCACTTTTGACTCTGTCTACAACTGGAAGTAAGTTGTGAAATATGATCTTATGTGATGAATGTTGAGTTGTTGTAGTGATCCAAACTATAAGCCTTAGGGACCACTGAATTTTTTTTTCAATTTACAAATAGAGGTAAATTTCAAAATATGATTCATATGGTCAATTTTGACTTGTTCTGAGCTATGAATGAAAAAGCCAATTTGATAATTTTCTCAACGAACGTTTTCACTCTGAGACCAGTCATTTTGAAATGAGTTCAATGAAGCGGAGAGTCAATTGTTCATGACTTTTTTTTACATCTTGCCGTTATTGTTTCATTAATCCAAAAATGTATGTTATTATGTAAGCAGCATTACAATAAGAATTCCAATTTCTTTTCTGGATTCACACTGTCATCATAGTTGGATCATTTGATACTTCTGTGTGGTAATGATGGAATTTACACTTTAAAATATCATTAGAAATACAAGTTGTAAATTATTTAACAAGTTATCTTTTGGGGTTTTTAATTTTTTTTTGTAGTTCCTTTTTCAAATTTATTGAATTTTTGCATTTTTATTCTATCAGTTCTAAACAGAGAGACCTGTATGACGAGACTTTCTACGATCTTGTGGACTCTGTGCTCCAGGGATTCAATGGAACAATTTTTGCCTATGGTCAGACTGGCACGGGGAAGACACACACTATGCAAGGTGAGTAGTGGTCGATGTTTGCTCTAACCGTCAGTTTGCTGGCCGGCCACTTCTACTTCATGAATGGGAGGTTAGGTTATTTTTTTGTTGGTCTTGCTTTCTGACTATTGACCTATAGAAAATCTGTGAATAATTTCAGTAGACTGTCGGATACGTTTTCTTCCTGGATTCCTCCCTAAAGTAATGAGAGGGCAAATTTGGACAAGCGGGCTGAAGTTATGAAGTTTTCAAGCCTTCGGTGGAAGGGATGGGAAACTGAGCTGTCAGTGTACCTTTAACAAAAACTCTCTCCTAGCACTGCAAGACCTTTGCAGTGTTAGTTTGCTTTTCTTCACAGATTCAAAGGTACCATGAATGATAGATGATGGAAGTAATAGAGAAATGTAGGTTAGAAGATTAGCTTAAATTTTTATTAGGTTTTTTTTTCACCTAAAGAGCAATTTAAAATGTTTTTCATACCTTTAAATTGAAAATTTGTTTAAGCTTCTCTTCTTTGTGAAACAAAACAAAAGAGAACAAAAAAATTGATCTCGCTTGTTCTGTCTACCTTGAAAAAACAAAACAAAACAGAAAATAAAAGCCTTATCACACCTAATATGTAATACGATGCACCCTTACTCCTTTCTTGATCCCAAACCTATTGACCATGTCTCTCCTTTGGAGTATAATTTACTTTTTCTAAGTCTACCAACCAGACAAGCCTGTATCATGCTTACTGCTTTAAGATCATCTGTCAAGATGCAAAAGGCCACACATACACAGTAAAAATTGATTCGTCTATTTTTTATATCTATGCCTGCATGTTTTATCAATGGTTTGTATTCACCTCTCAGCTGTACGCCTTTTCTTTGTCTATTTATATATTATTTTACTGTTCCTTTCTGCTGTTCAAGGACTACACTTAAATTTCATTCCTGAAAGTAAATTGAATCGAATAGGGTTATTTTTTTGTGCTGTTGTTTTAAAATGTTTCTTACTCTTTTTTTGTTGAATTCATTAGGTTCAAAAGCCAGTAAGGAAGAGTGGGGAGTGATTCCCAACTCATTTGAGCAGATATTTCAGCACATTTCACAGTCACAGAACCAACAGTACTTAGTCCGGGCCTCTTACTTGGAGATCTACCAGGTGTGTTCCTCAGTTTTGATGGGTTTGTGTACCAAAGTGTTGTTTTTTAGACCTTTCCATCCCTCAGGGTTTTCCATGTTTGTGCCCGACCAGTGTGTTTCATATTGAATGTGGTCTTGTGAGAGACTGATTTGTAGATTTTTGTCCCAGAAATCAAACTGATGCTTGCTCATTTCCAACAAAAGTTTTCAGTGAAAGTAATCGGTCTTTGTTTGCCGTAAAAAGTTTTACTAGCATGGAGAAGAAATGATGGAATATAGTAATGACTGATCACTAAGACTGGCAGGGAAAGAGTTAACAGTGGAATTCTTTTGTCTTTATCCTGTATATTTATATTATATACTTGAATTTTGTTAATAATTTTTTTACCTTTTTGTGTCTGTTATAACTACATTTAAGTTCAAACATGTTCCAAATGTGCGTAAAATCTTTGTATTCAAAGGGAAGGAAAAACTTCTCTTTGATCACTTTTTGTGGTCTTTGTTTGTTTTTTGTATTTTCTGAAGTATTGAACCTGTTGTTTTTTTTCTATTTGTGAAGAAAGTACATGCTCAGAGATTACCTGTATGTTGTGAACATGATATATTCTTGTAATAATACAAACAAATTGATGTAGCAGTTAATGTCATTTGTTCAAATTCTGAAGGTTAAAAAAACAATGTGGGTGGTGGGCGGGTGCTCAGGTGTGGTTTACTCCTTCTTTTCTATCATCTATCATCCTTATCTCCCCTCCTTTTTATGTTCGTTAACCTCTAATCTTCGGCACTTATATGACCTTGTTGTGTTGCAAGTGCCGTAAAACACTTACCAAAACTTTTTTTAAAATGTTGGCACAACTGTTAAAAGAATGATACCATTTTTTTCCCCTCTCTTAAAAAATTTTGCTTTCTGGGCTTACTGCATTTGTACAGCTAGATGTTGAAATCCTGTTTTGTCCTTTCTGTTGTTACATCACTCGGAAAGTAGTTCCTAACCTCATCAATTGTTCACAGGAAGAAATCAGAGACTTGTTGTCCAAGGATCAAACAAAGAGGCTGGAGTTGAAGGAGAGAACAGACACAGGCGTCTATGTAAAGGTAGGTCTTGCAAGTGTGGACTGCTAATATCTGAGCTGGACTTTCAGCTGCCTGCGACACTCCAGGGTTACTCCTTTCTTTGAGAAGTAAATCAAAATGTTCTTTTGAGTACAAGTTATTACTTTTATGTTTAAGAATTGTCACATACATAAAAATCAGATGCGTTGTGGGTTGAAGAACCAGCAGTCAACTACCCCGGAGATCTAGCAGGGGAAAGTAGAGAAGAAGACTTCTATATAAGATTTTTACAAAAATAGATGAGTATGTTGTGTTAGGGTGTTACTTAGCTTGAGTATTGTTTTTGTGAATATTCAGTTATACAACTTATTGTAAATTGTACTATAGTAATATGCAATCATGTTTTGATGAATAACGGAGTTCTTGAAATTTGATCATATTTACTTGGGCTTCTTTTAACTGAGTTAATTTTTAAGTCTGGATGGAAGTAAACTCATGTTTTAACATTGCCTGAAGTGTCTAAGCTTGAAATCACATTTGCGTCTTTCATTACTTTTTTTTGTGCTTGTTCCAGGACCTATCATCATTTGTGACGAAAAGTGTAAAAGAAATTGAGCATGTGATGAATGTTGGCAACAACAACAGATCTGTGGGGTAAGAGTTTATTGCTCTTTTTAGTCTCCAGTGGTTTGGTTTTTTTTCTCTTTTATTTGCTGTTCTTATTTTGGCCATAGATGTCATTCATTTTTATATTTAATTTGATGTTTATGTCCTGCGTTTGTCCATAGAGTTACCATGTTATGTGTTGGTTGTGAGGGAGGAATTACGTGTGTCGGAGGGAGAGAATGTGGTGTGTTGATATGATTCTATGTGTATGCATATTTTGTGTCGCAGGAGCTGCCAAAATCATGTTCTCCATTTCTTCCAGTGGAAGATAAAAAAATCAATATATTTTTCTTTTTTTTTTTGTCTTTCTTTTTTATTTCACTAAGTATCTATCTTTTGTCTTGAATGCTAGCTGTCTCGCTGGGGCTGTAGAATGGTCTGTTCCTGCTTTTCAGTGTTGCTGTCATCCATCTGTTTTTGACAAAGTAATGCCATCTTCAGTCTGACTCTGTAATTGGTTGTAAATGTTTGATGCTATCGTTGACACAATTTAGATTGTTAAGGAGGTGGGTTGATTTAACCATTCCTGTCAGTGACAACCCAGGCTGAGTGGGATATATGGGTGGTTGGCGGGTGCTCTGGTGTTGTTTGCTCCTTCTTTCCTATCAAACATCTGTCGTCCTTATCTCTCCTCCTTCTTTTTTTGTGTATGTTAATCTCTTGTAACACAAAATCTATTCTTCGGCTCTTATATGACCTTATTGTGTTGAAAGTGCCGTAAAACTCTTACTAAAACTAACTGAGTGGGATACATTGACCCAGCTAAAATACTGATCTCAGAAAAGTTGTTATATTTGATGAAGTCAACTTTTTCCCCTGGAATTGAACTCCCTTTTCCAACGTGCATTAGTGAAGAACCTCATCTTTCTGTCACTAACACCAAAATCATGAGAACATCTCGTTTTGTCTGTGAACTATTTTCTTCAAATTTTTCCTTTAGTAAACACTCGGACTAATCAATGAGACAATATTTATAAAGTTCAATCATGCATGCTAACTGTCAGTCACAAAATTCCAGATTTTTCCATTTGACAGTTATTCAGACTTTACATACTCGCAAATACAGTTGCATAGATGAAAATCAAAACAGGAAGCTGCTGCAGGTCCTTCTTCTATTCTATATCTCTGTTTTTTCGGTCTGTATATCTTCTTGCTTGGTGTTGTGTCAATGTGCTTCTCTTTACTCAAACTCTGCTGTTTCAATCTGTATATCTTGCCTTTTCATGTGCACCAAATGGCTGTTACTGTGTCATTGTGTTATTGTGGGTGCCTTTATTCAAACTCTAGCTCCAGAATTAGGACAATGCTTATGGTTTTTTATTTTTTTTATATTATAGTTTTTGTTTTATATTCCTCTTCTAGGGCCACCAACATGAACCTGCACAGCTCCCGGTCTCATGCTATCTTCATTGTGACCATTGAATGCAGTGAGGTAAGGAGAGGGGGAGTCCATCTTGGTTGCTGATTCCTGTCTCTTCTTTTTGATTCATTGTTAATTGATTGTAAATTTTACAACAAGGTATTTTTATTCTTCTCCTTGATAAGTGTCTTTTTCATGTGAGTGTCAACTTAAAGATAAGAAAAGAGAGGTGAACAGATTTATTTTTTTCTTTACATGAAATTGTTTTGCTTATAAAGGCTCGTAAGTCTGACTGTAATTCTTAATAAAATATGTGGTCTAATATTTCAAAACTTGGTCTTTCATTATGATGATTGTGTCTTGTCAAGGTGCTGCCTGTCTCCAGAGGCAAACTACCTTGAGCTTAATTGGTATCATGCTGGTCTATGATGCGAGTCACTCTGGTTTGAATCCCATATGGGGTCGGACCTGAGCTTAATTATTTTAGGAGTTTTCAAGATTGTCTTTTCTACTTGATTTAGTTCTGTTCGAGATGCAGATGTCCTTTTGCCTGTATAGTTACTGAGTGGATGGATTGGCAGTTGCTGTGGTGTGGTATACTTCTTCTTTCCTATCAAATGTCTGTCATCCTTATCTTTCTTCTTTCTTTTCTTTGTATATTACTTTCCAGTAACATCTCTAATCTTCATCATTTATATGACCTATTTGCGTTGCAAGTATTGTAAAGCTCTTACAAAAACTAAACTGAAACAGTATCTGATTCATGTCTACGTGTCTCCAGGAAGGGGCTGACGGTGAGAACCACATCCGTGTGGGCAAACTGAATATGGTAGATCTGGCTGGCAGCGAGCGACAGAGCAAGACAGGGGCTACGGTGAGCTGGCAGTGTTGGGCATTTAGATCCGTACTTTACTTGGTGGGGCTGGATACTTTTTGTGGGTGGTTGGTGCGCGTGGTCTGCTTCCTCTCTGTCTTTTTCTTGTCTGTGCTGTTTGTGTCTGTTTCTGAAGATGGCTAGCTGTTGTCATTTAGCTGACAGGAAATTTTTTACCTCTGATTAGAGAGAGTCTTCCAAAAATAGGTTCTGTTAATTTTATTATTATTAGTATATCATTATTAGATTTTATCGACCAGAAGCATCTGCAGGGGCCACTACTGCTTGCCAACTAGGAATGCTGGACAACGTCAGTGGATGTAGACCAGGGGTCCACGGAACACAACCTGGGCTGCCAGGCCAGTCAGTGTGGCTTTTGCGCTTTGTTTTTATACTTAAAAACACAATACACTCGCTGCTATTACTGTACATACTTCAATGGTGACTGATTCCTTTCTCTGCAGGGCGAACGTCTTAAAGAGGCCACAAAAATCAATTTGTCCTTGTCAACTTTGGGTAATGTCATTTCTGCTCTGGTGGATGGCAAAAGCACTCACATTCCTTACAGGGACTCTAAGCTGACCCGACTGCTTCAAGGTCAGTTTGTGCTTAAAATTGAAGCACTATCCTTATTTTCTTTGTGTGTAATAACACTGATGAATCGGCTTTGTTAATTAATCTGGATTTCAGTTTTTGTTTATTCTGGAATTTCTATCTTTTATAATGCATGCTTCACAAAAGTATAGGTTTTAATACTGTCTGGAGCTTTCATTTTGCTTATGAGGCACTTTTATTTATTTATTTTTTTCTTCGAATTGAAGAGAACCTCTGATCAAGAACCTCTAGCTTTTCCTGAGGGAGTGTTGACTTGGTTTGAAGTTGGGCTATAGAAATAATTTAAGAGCAGTTGTCCAGATAGTGATCGGGAAAAAGTAACAAATAAAGAACTAAAAACCAAAATGGATGCAGATCTTGTACTGCTGTAGGCATTAATTTTGGTAAAGACAGACATGTATTATTGTATAATGGTGGTCAGGAAGTAACTTTACTCAACATAAAGTTACCCAGTGTTGGGAGTTCTCACCAGGAGTTGGGTGAGGGGAGGGGGAATGGGGTTCGAAGTGTTATGTAATGCTGCCTCTTGGTTGACAGTATGTCAACTCAGTTTTATGAATGATGATTGGTGCATAGTTTGTCTGGTTTAAGTTAATGAAATTTTCAAAAAGGATCCATTCGTGGTTGATTAATTTAGAGATTTTAGCTCTAATTCTTTCTTGTATATTATTTCTTTGTTTTTCTTTATTTGAAGATTCCCTTGGTGGCAATGCAAGGACTGTCATGGTAGCCAATATTGGTCCTGCAAGTTACAACTACGATGAAACGCTTACTACCCTGAGGTAATTACTTTCCCTGATTCCCTGATTGCGGAAGGGATTGAGAGATAAGAAGTCCCTAGCCCTCTAACAGAGATTAACACCCCCCCCCTCAATTCCCAACTGGTAGGGTGCCTCAAAGCGGCAATCGACCAACATGCGCCAATGGTAAAAAGAAACATTTCATCGAGACCCTTTTCTCCTTGGTTTTCACTTGAAATCAAAGAGGCCAAGAAACATCGACGTCAGGCAGAACGCAGGTGGAGGAAATCAAAACTTCAAGTTCACAGAGACATCTTTATTAACCACCGAGACAAAGTCAACTCAATCACCGAAAATAACAAGAAAAAATACTATCTACATGAATTACAAGATGTTAAATCACCCAAACAACTCGTTCAGACTACCAATGCTATTCTGGGAAAAGAAACAATATCTCCTCTCCCCTCTGCAACATCAGATGACGAACTTTGTAGTTTATTTGTGACTTTTTTCAATGACAAAATTAATACCATACGCTCTTCTCTCGACCTAGAGCCAAATGGAAATTTGGAATTTTCAGAATTTACTGGACAAATATTAGATTCTTTTAGTCCAGTTACGAATAGTGATATTTTAAATTGTATTAATGGGTCAACCATAAAAACATGCGACCTTGACCCAATGCCTGCTCATGTATTCAAAACCTGTATTGATATTGTCCTACCTCACATTACTCAGATAGGGAATATGTCACTTGCCACTGGCACAGTACCTAATACTTTCAAACAAGCTATTGTAAAACCTTTATTGAAAAAACCCGGGCTTGATAAAAATGAATTTAAAAACTATCGACCAGTTTCGAATTTGCAATTTGTCTCAAAAATTCTAGAGAAGATTGTTTTAAGTCAAGTTTTGTCTCACATGAGAAAAAATGGTCTTGAGGAAATTTACCAATCTGCCTATAAAACTCATCATAGTACCGAAACTGCGCTTTTAAAAGTAACGTCTGATTTATTGGATTCCATTGATAGCAAAAACATCTGTCTTTTAACTCTTTTGGATCTGTCCGCAGCTTTTGACACAATTGACCATGCTATTCTACTCACAAGACTTGAGCGCTCATTTGGCTTATCGGGTACTGTGCTTTCATGGTTTAAGTCATATTTACTAGAAAGAGTTCAGTCAGTGCAAATTAAAAATAGCTTTTCAAAGCAGGTCAGGCTCGATTATGGAGTTCCACAGGGGTCCGTTCTTGGACCAGTGCTCTTTACACTATATACACAGCCCTTAGCAAGCATTTTACAAAATCATGGATTGAATTATCATTTTTATGCCGATGATTCCCAAATGTATGTTAATGGCACCATTCAAGATCTACCAAACATGATTTCCATCACTAAACAATGTTTTTATGAAATCAAAAAGTGGATGACAGTAAACAAATTGAAACTAAACGAAGAAAAGACAGACATCATTCTTATAAAAAATCCACGATTAAATAAAGATCTGGAAAGTGTCAACTTTGATTTATATGGGCATATGACATCTAGTAAAGAAGTTGTCAGGAATCTCGGTGTATATATTGACCACCACTTATCAATGGGCTCGTTTGTAGGATCTCTGTCCAAATCCCTTTATTTTCAGCTGAGAAGGATAGGCCTAGTTCGAAAGTACTTAAGCGAAGAGACCACAAAAACACTGGTAACATCTCTTATCCTATCTAGATTAGACTATTGTAACTCACTCCTGGCAGGTCTGAACAACAAATATTTGAATCGTTTACAAGTAATTCAAAACAATGCCGCTAGACTGATAACAAGATCTAAAAAACGAGACCATGTCACTCCATTATTAAAAGAACTGCATTGGCTCCCTGTAAAAGAATGAATAATATTTAAAATCTGCGTCATGTGTTTCAAATGTGTAAATAAAACTGCTCCTTTTTATCTACAAGAACTTATCAGTATATATAAACCAGGGAGAAACCTAAGATCATCGAACGATAACACCCTACTTGTGACACCTGTAAAATCATACAAATCATATGGAGAGAGATCTTTCTCATATCTTGGTCCATTTATGTGGAACAGATTACCCATGAAACTAAGACAAATAAGAACACTTGATAGCTTCAAAAGACATCTTAAACATTTTCTGTTCCTACAGGCCTATCCTTCATAAGCTTTTAACGTTATCTTTCATTACATTTGTTCTTTTCCTATGTCTGGATGAAAATAGTCTGTGTGTGTGTGTGTGTGTGTGTGTGTGTGTGTGTGTGTGTGTGTGTGTGTATGTGTGTGCATTAATGTATATTGCTTGAGAAGAAAGGAAGTAGTAAGAAAGGTTTTTGAAAAATGGGTATTCCAATGTAAAGCGCATTGAGCTACTTTTTTTTGGAAATGCGCTCTATAAATGTTATATATTATTATTATATTATTATTATATGTCACAACCTTTCTGCTTTACTTACTGTGTTTTCTTGTCCAGTTGACGTGCCGTGGAGGCTGAAAGGGGGGTGTGGGTGGGGGGGGATGAACTGCCTGTCATCCTTCCAATAAGCATCACAACTGTCATTACTGAGAGGCTCATATATCCTAACCTCTTTAGCCATGTGCGTCTTTTTACTCAAACCTCTATACTTGTAATATTAGAAGACAAAAAGTGTCAACGCTTTGTCGTTCTTTTTCTTGTCTGTCATTTTTTTTCTTTTTTCCAGGTGCACATGGTTGTTTCTATATTGATGTTGACTCATAGTGCCACCCACGTAGAGAGATTGACGTCTGAAATAATCCCAAAAAAATTATAATGAAGACAACCTCTGATCAAGAACTTACATGTTTTCCTGGGGTATTGTTTTCCTTGTTTTTAAGATAAGCCTTGTCCTCTCACAAAAAAAAAGATGATAGGTAAGACTGATAGATGTGCAATAGGAAAGAAGGAACAAACCACACCAGAGCACCTGCCAACCACCCACACAAAAGCCGAGAATCAAGCTGTCCAGATCATAGCCCAGCATGATAGTAAATGAGTTAATGATATGTTCCCCTCTTCCCCAGGTATGCCAACAGAGCCAAGAACATCAAGAACAAGCCGGTGATCAATGAGGACCCGAAGGATGCTCTTTTGAGAGAGTTTCAGGAGGAAATCATGCGGTCCGTCTCATGTCTGAGTTTGAATGTACAGCTAGAAAAATAATAATAATGATATTTCTGTACTGCTTTCCCTTTGAATTTAAACATGGTGCTTTTCGATTAAGAATGGGATTTTTCTATTATTAAAGCTAAACATGATCAGCAAAGATAAAGTATCTGGAAAAAAGGTTGTTAGAAGGCAACCCGGTGGTAATAATAATAATAATAATATAATTATAATTTTTATAGTAATAGTGGTACAGATGATTGTAGAATACTGCTACTGTTTCTTCTGCTGCTGCTGCTGTTTTTACTTCTATTACTAATAACAGTAATAATAGATTGAACTTATGTATTCATGCTCAAAAAAAAAGCTCTAAGCTCTTTAAAATTTATTATTTTCCGACAGACACTTTTTAATATTTCTGGAACAATTTCAGGGCAAGCTGGGGAGAGATGAAAACAAATGTTTAATTCACTCTGATGGTTTGCGTTAAAAAGGTTTGATTGCATAGTTGACACATTACTTCTATTGGTAAAAGATTTATGGTCTTCGTGGGCATGGTGGGAAATCCCTTTTTGAGGCGAATTGGACAAAAGGTGAAACTCGAAAAAATATAGACTTCTGCATTTAGAAAACTACATAGAGAACATATGTGATTATGGAACTGGTACCCCATACTGCTGCAAAAATCACACCAATTCATTTAAACCTGTTAATGAATTTGTTTTTATCATTTTCAGAAATGTTTCCAAATTGTGTGTGGTATACACAGACAATGTAAAAGTAATGCATCATTAAAAAAATTGTTTGTTATTGTTCACTGTCATCTAATTCTTTTGTTTGTTTGTTTATCCACACAGATTGAAATCTCAGCTTGAAGGTAAAGGGGGCCCAAAGAAGAAAAAGAAGAGGAGGAGTAGGAGAAACAGAGATGGTTAGTGCATTTTGTACAAATTGTCCTTATGTGTGAGGAAAAAAAAGAAATTTAGTGCCCCAGGGCTAGAGCAGTGTTTTTGGATGTTCTTCTTTTGTTGTCCTTTTGTGTTCTTTTAATTTCTTTTAGTCCTGCTAAAATGATGAGCTTACTGGTAGATGTGCTGTATGTGGACCTCTGAGCTAACCACTGAGAAGTGATTGGGTCACCAATGCTGCTGTATCGTGACAGAGGAGAATTTTCACTACAAAGGAATACAAGCATTCTCACTGAAAGTTACTTTTATTACTCTTATGCAGGCCTGTTAATCCTTTTAAGTTTCTACAGGAATGAGTGATTATTATTCCGTTGCATTGAGCGTCATCTTGGGTCAGAATTGAAAGGGTAGAGTTACCTCTGATTCTCTTCCCACTCCATGAACGACTCGCACAGATCAAGGACCATTGTATTTCTCTCTGGGTCATATAGTTTCTGTTAGTCTAAAAATAATAAATAAAGTTCATCTGTCAGTGTCTGATGGTGGCCAATAAATGTGGAGAAAAAGGATATTATTTACGAAGTGAAATTGAAGTTATAAAGGTTAAGATGAATTTGTAATCAGGCTTTTTGAGAAAAGCTGTTCTACACATTCTTGTGGGTGTTCAAGAAAACTGTGCTGCCAATACAAAGAAAATATAGATTAGTTCAGTGGGGAATGGCATATTGTTCGAGCTATCCTTGAGTTTTAGTTTTGCATGTTAGAGTTACCTGTGCTTGGCTCTAGACAGCATATAAAAGTGTTGCAAGCATGAAGAAAAAAGGGAACAAGTTATAGAATACAATTTTGACGATAGAGTGTAGATAGCCACAGGTACAGCAGCGGATATTAATGATGTATCAAGGTTTTGTTCGGAAAGAGTGGAAGAGTTCTCTCTCAGTGTTTATCCTGGTGGCTCTTTCATATAGGCTTGAGATATTTCATAATATATCAAAATATTTTGTGTAACTGTTCATCCCTCAGGTCAAATAGTCGAAGGAGATGAGGATGATGAGGACGAAGAAGGAGAGAATGATGAAGACGACACAGAAGCATTCATGAAGGAGCAGGAGGCTAAACTTGAGCAAGAGAAAGTGGCCATTTTGAACAACCAGTCTCTCATTGCTGAAGTATGTTAGGTTGCTGAAAGTTATTTATATTGCCTTGATTTTTGCTGTTGTTTTAGAAAAAAAACAATTGTCGGCCAGCTGTTTAGATATACTAAGCCTAAGATTTAAAAATAATTTTTATTGCAGTTTCTCAATCTGTGGTATTGTTTGAATGTGCTTAAGAAATATTTTGTAAAAATTCCAATTCATAATGGTGAAGAAAACCTAGATAAGATACAGATTTCTGGTACAATTGTTAAAAGAAGAAACGTTTTTCTCGCTCTTGAAAAATTTTGTTGCACATTTGAACAGCTTGCAAACAATTTTAAAGAATAAGATAAGAATACAAGACACATTTGTAATCCCGGAAAATAATGAATATAAAAATAAAATACAAATTTTATTTGTCCCCATAGTATACATAGAGCGAAAATATGAGCTCACTGCCTTTGGGTCACCTGATGTAGTGCCCTTAATGAGCAACGGTTGATGATCAGGTGGGCACTCATCTAAAAGCGTTGGCTCAGTTCTAGTAAGAAATTTTTTAATTGCACAAACTAAAGCATGAGCTGCTTCGATTCATTCTTCTCTTTGGTCAAAAGTAGGATTCTCAAATGATAAAAAGAGTGTAATGATGGGCTTGCATGTCTGATCATTGTGTCTGTCCATCTTTGATCTGCAGGAGAAAGAAAAACTGTTGTCCACTCTGAAGGACAAGGAGCAGACGCTGTTGCAGGAGAAGGATTCCAGAGACAACCTGGCTCAGAAGATTAAGGTGAGTAGTGGCTGTACGATTGTGGGGGGCGGGGGTTGGTGGCAGGGTGAGACAGTTGGAAACAGGGCTAGTGAGAGAAGGAGAGGGTATATGTTTGGAGAAAAGAGAAAAAGAGTTTTAAAAAAAAAAGGGGGGGGGGGGGGTACTGAATGAGGGAAAAAGAGAGGAGTGAGTTAATAATGGAGAAGATGGAGATAATGAAAGTAAAAACTGAAGATTGGGGGGGGGGGGGGGAGAATTCTGATGGATTTGTCTTATGAGAGCATAATTGTTCTATTCATATGTTATCGAATGATTGAAAAATGTGTTGTTTTTAATTGATTTATTTTATTTTAGTATTTTAGAAATTATTATTTTGATTTTAATTTGATTTTTTAAAATGTGTGCTTCAAAGGCGATGGAGAGCAAACTCCTTGTTGGAGGGAAGAATATTGTGGACCACACGAATGAGCAGCAGAGAGCTCTGGAGCACAGACGCCGAGAGATTGCAGAACAGCAGGTGAGATGAAAGGAGCTCTGTTTGAGAGAATGGAAGAAGATGGTGCTAAGATGAAAATAAGTACTAGTAACTAAGAGCCGTGACCGCCCCATGGAATTGTTATTAACCCTGGAAGCGCGCAGGCCCTGTATAAAGGGCATGAGCCGGGCTACCCGGGAAGCGCGCACGCCCTATATATAGGGCTGACCTACTTCGACCGGGAAGCGCGCAGGCCCTATATTAAGGGCATAGTCGCTGACCTTTTTCAATGGAAAATTCCAGTATTCCTTATATGGAAAATGACGTAGTCAATTACAGCTCAAAGTTATAAATAGTGACCAATGACTTTGCAAGTTATCTTGACCTCGTAGAGCGTCTCTTGGCCGAGATATCGATCGATAAAGTGACGGGGTCCCGCTGAGAGATTACACGCTATGTGTTATCACATGTTTCGCGTGCTGATGTACTAATTGTGAGTCAATCGCGTTCTCGGCTTGATTTGTATTTATTTGATCGCTGATCATTTTTAAATGGCTCATTCTATCAGCTTAAAGAAAATATATGCTTTTATATGCTTTTTTATCATCTGTTGAGCCGTAAATGGTCATTTTTCAGTAGCAGGTATACATTTCGGGTATCTCAGCTGATTCCCCCCCGACAAACCCCCATGTTTTTACAACTGATCGGCCCTGGCGGCGGGGCATTTTTGGCGGGTTACTTCCGGTGAAACGCTGAGCGCTTCTAGGGTTAAATAAAAATTAGAAGTAAGGAGCAGCGAATACTGTGTATGAAAAGGTTTTTGTATTAGATGCAAAGCGAATAGAAATACTTCAGGTTCTACTAATGCAAATGCACGCATACTTGCTACATTTTTTCATTTTGTGTATACTAATCAATGCAAGATCCTGCAATTTGTTTATATCACTCTCTGTTTGTCTCTCTTTCTCTCTCTGTCTGTCTTTGTCTGTCTGTCTGTCTTTCTTTCTCTGTCTCTGTCTTTCTTTCTCTTTCACACATACTCATATGTAATGACTGCCTGCCTGTTATACCTCACCCTGCCCTCTCTTTCTCACTCTCTCTGTCTGTCTCTTTCTCTATCTCTCTGTCTGTCTCTTTCTCTATCTCTCTGTCTCTGACTGTCTGTCCTTTTGTCTGTCTTGACCTCTTGACCTCTCTCTTAACCTCCCTCTTTCTCTCTCGCTCTCTCCCAACAAATTCAAATTTACAACATAATTTTAACTCCCTAGCGCAAAGAGCGAGAGATGCAACAGAAGCTGGAGGAAAAGGAGGAGACAGCCATAGAGATCCGGGAGACATACCAGTCGCTGCAGCAGGAGGTTGATGTCAAGACTAAGAAGCTTAAAAAGGTCAGTCCTCTCCGTGTGTATCCTTCAAGTGAAGCGTCATAGGCTTCACGTCAGCTTTTTCTCTTATATTCACAATGGAGAAAAATGGTTTGCTGTTAATCTCATTATCTTATTGATAGAGCTTGCTGCAACTCATTTCCTTGCCGTCAATAATGATATTCCAGATACTTTCTTCAGCGCCCACTCCCGATCAAAAAAGCTCTAGGTTTTTTGCAATACATTCATCTTAACACGAAGTATATGAAAATGAATGTGCATACCTAAGCTCTTTAGATTAACACTAATGCGTAAGCATTCACTCATACTATCACGACACAATTAATGGAAATATGGGTATCACATTATAAAGTTTGATCCAGAGAATACACTTAGTCACCTAGGCTAATCGCAAATAGCCATGGAAACAGTGAGTTTACTCTCACAGTAGATTTAAAATTGTCTGCTGTTAAATTAATTTCGTGCATAATTCAATTTGTTTCTCATTGTTTCTGATATAATACCTGTCTACTCCTTTTTTCTCATTTATGCTAAAACAAAACTTGTCTACCCTGAACTATTCACTATAACAAAATAAAACATGTTCCCCCTTCCCACCACCACTATCCCTCCAGCTCTTTGGCAAGCTTCAGGCGACGCGCCAGGAGATCCAGGACATCCAGGAGGAACACGTGAGAGAGAGGCAGGAGCTGGAGCAGACGCAGATGGAGCTGACCAGGGAGCTCAAGCTCAAGTGAGTCCCCTTCTCATCCTTCACATCAGTCAGCAGCATGTTGTTGTAGAGTGCTTGGTGTACAGGCAGTAGAATTTTGGTTGTAGCGGGGGGGGTTCCCCGCCAAGCGCCTTATCACGTCGGGGCCACGGGGGTCAGCTCCCTGTCGCCGCTCTGTCTGGGCTGACTTCATTTTTGGTTCTTTTCAAGGTACAGTTTTAGGTGTATCCTTGAATTTATGGTAATGATTATTTAATACACCCTAAGTACGCTTTCTTGCTCTTGAGACTCAAGAAAAATTGGGTACTCTACAAACACTTGTCTAGAACAAAAACTAAGGCCCTGAAATTAACCATTCAAACGCAGAATAAATCTCAAGACATTGAGCTTTTAGTACATCCGCGTAATGGTTTGCTGTGTGGAATGGGGAAGAAGTTATGTAGTTTCAACCGTAGACAAAGATGCAAACTTCTTAACCGACACCTACAGAGACGTTGTGGGTGATGTGTGCTGTGCGGCTGACTGTGGTTTGAAAACCAGACATGACTTTTTTTTTCTTTTAACTCTACTTGGATTATTTCAGGAGGTTTTGTGGCTCATCTCTCGCTTGACTCATTCATTTTGAATTTAAAAGATGGGACTTTAAATACTTGGGTGGTTTCATTTTTATGATTTGCCACTTACTTGGATAAGTATTATTTTACTTTTCCTTACCTCCGCAGGATATTTTTGGACCAGGTTTTATTTTCAGGAGTTTTTCACCTACTTGGCTTGATTATATTACTGCTGGATGTTAAATTGAGAGGTCCAGCCTCTTAAATTACCATACAGTTTTTTATAAAGGCATAAAACAACATATTATAGCGATTAACCTCAGTCTGTTTTTCAGAGGAGTCTTTACTGTCTTTTTTTCTCCCAGGATGCTGATCATTGAAAACTTCATTCCAAGTGAGGAGAAAGTGAAAATCCACAACAGAGCTATGTACGATGAGGACGAGGACACGTGGAAACTCAAGCCTTTGGCCAATAAGAAGTAAATACTTACCTAGTATAAGAAGAAAAGATAGATATATTGTTGTGGGGATATGCACATGCAAAAGTAATGTTATTTTTCTTTCTCCCTCAGGGTTTTTCTTCTTGGGGGGGGGGGGGGGGAGAAGGTGTGCTTCGCTTCGTTTTGTTGTGATAGATTTTTTGCAAATTAGAGCGTCTGTTTTTTTACAATCTCCTACACATTCTAGCAATAAATGTCGCATTCAGTGCGGATCAAGATTTTTTTGCTTTGTTTTTAAAGTAAGTGTTCTTTTCTTTCTTCCTGGGAGCAGATGCTTCCTGTACAGTATGATATTTCATATTACTGTTAATAAATAAGATATGTCCTACTCAATTGTTTAGATATTGTCACCAGTGTTGCCGAGGAAACTTTTTTTTTCCGTCACAAACAGAAAAGAAAAACATCTTCTCTGGTATTAGTATTAGACTTTAACACTTCTCATCCCTGCTGCTGTGCGTTTTTCAGCGCGGAGACCATGGCCAAAAGGCCCACCTCGGCTGTGGGGAACAGACGACCCATGTCGGAGTTTGCTCGAGTTGCTGCTGCTGTTGGAGGCAACCCTCGCTATAAGGTCAGTGAGAAGGCCTGATAGGAAAGTGATTTTTTCCCCCTAGTTTACAGGGATCTAACTGATTTTAATACTGTGAAAACCACATTCAATGAAAGGAGGAGTATTCCTCGGTTTTTTATTTTACTTTTGCTCCTGAAATCAACAAAATACCTTGTATTCAACCAACCACACGAACTCAGCGATGTGGCTTGCAAGGAAAACAGCCCCTGCTGACGTATTTCTAGTATTTTTATCTACTAATAAACTTTGTCTACTCTATTCCAAGGGACTACCCTTGCCCTGCACTTGTTACGTACTTTGCCTATTACAGTTTTAGATCTTGTACTGTGGAACTCAGATTCAACGAGGTCGCTGGGCCTGACCTAAAATCTCGTTGAATCCGAGTGTTCATTATGGCAAACATTAGGTTTTGTGTTGATAATTACTGGCACTGGGCAAGTAATGTATTAAGAGAAGTCACAAGTAGTGCCTGAAATGCCTGCATTTTATAAACTGTGTAAAAAAAAAAAAGACCAATTCGATACACGAGCTTAGCCTGTGCCGTTTTGTGATGGGTTTGCTGCCAGCACACATGTGGCTGTGTGTGCATGGGTCTGAGGGAGGGGGAATGGGAATAAGCAATCGGGGTGTGGAACATCAGTAGAGATGCAGACCCATCACAGTTGTTTTGTTACTTGTCTAGTGAACAGTACAGAAGATCTGGCAGTAGATTTTGTTCTAGATAAGACTAAAAAAAAGCTGCATTCCTAGTCCATCCCAAAAATATGATGCTAATCTGTGTAGATCTAGCAGAACAGACCATTTGCAGATTTCGCAAATTCACCTCATGGTTTAGATCTATCAGCACCTTCCGATACCTCTTGTGATGTACCGTGACGACGCCTGTAACTGGTAAATGGTTAAGTTAACTTAATCCCCTTCTCAGAGTGGTTGACAAATAAAATGCCTCTTGTAAGTTAACTTAACCTCTTTTCTGCCCCCCCCCCCTTTTAGGTGTATCCTTGAATTTATGGTAATGATTATTTAATACACCCTAAGTACGCTTTCTTGCTCTTGAGACTCAAGAAAAATTGGGTACTCTACAAACACTTGTCTAGAACAAAAACTAAGGCCCTGAAATTAACCATTCAAACGCAGAATAAATCTCAAGACATTGAGCTTTTAGTACATCCGCGTAATGGTTTGCTGTGTGGAATGGGGAAGAAGTTATGTAGTTTCAACCGTAGACAAAGATGCAAACTTCTTAACCGACACCTACAGAGACGTTGTGGGTGATGTGTGCTGTGCGGCTGACTGTGGTTTGAAAACCAGACATGACTTTTTTTTTCTTTTAACTCTACTTGGATTATTTCAGGAGGTTTTGTGGCTCATCTCTCGCTTGACTCATTCATTTTGAATTTAAAAGATGGGACTTTAAATACTTGGGTGGTTTCATTTTTATGATTTGCCACTTACTTGGATAAGTATTATTTTACTTTTCCTTACCTCCGCAGGATATTTTTGGACCAGGTTTTATTTTCAGGAGTTTTTCACCTACTTGGCTTGATTATATTACTGCTGGATGTTAAATTGAGAGGTCCAGCCTCTTAAATTACCATACAGTTTTTTATAAAGGCATAAAACAACATATTATAGCGATTAACCTCAGTCTGTTTTTCAGAGGAGTCTTTACTGTCTTTTTTTCTCCCAGGATGCTGATCATTGAAAACTTCATTCCAAGTGAGGAGAAAGTGAAAATCCACAACAGAGCTATGTACGATGAGGACGAGGACACGTGGAAACTCAAGCCTTTGGCCAATAAGAAGTAAATACTTACCTAGTATAAGAAGAAAAGATAGATATATTGTTGTGGGGATATGCACATGCAAAAGTAATGTTATTTTTCTTTCTCCCTCAGGGTTT